GAGGCGGGTGGATCACGAGGTCAAGAGATCGAGACCATCCTGGTCAACATGGTGAAACCCCGTCTCTACTAAAAATACAAAAAATTAGCTGGGCATGGTGGTGCGTGCCTGTAATCCCAGCTACTCAGGAGGTTGAGGCAGGAGAATTGCCTGAACCCAGGAGGCGGAGGTTGTGGTGAGCCGAGATCGCGCCATTGCACTCCAGCCTGGGTAACAAGAGTGAAACTCCGACTCAAAAAAAAAAACAAAAACAAAAACAAAAGAGTCAGGAGAGCAGGAACCAGGCCTCTTCCATCCAGTCTACACGGGGGGCTCATGGGCGGGGTGGGCATGGTGGGAGGGTCAAGGGTGATGGCAGATGCCCTCCCAGCCCTGTACGTTTGGTCAACTCAGTGTGTATGTTGATGGGAAGAACTGAGATCCCCTCAAAGTAGAGAGAGCCAGAATGAGGTTGCAGAGAATTTATTTGGAAAATGAAGGGCAGAACCACAGAGATCTCAGGAGGGAGGGCAGAGGGGACTCATCTTCGTCCACAGAGGGGACTCTGGATCACGCCGCGTGTCCAGGCCATCTTCCTTCTCAGCCAGCCTTGGTGCAGGTCAGCCCCAGGATGATCATGTGATGGAGCCTGAAGCCTGTCTCCCCAAGTCCCTGGAAAATAGACATCTGTGACACTCCTCCTGAATCCCCAGGGCCCAGGGAGCATGGCTGAGCATGCCAGGCTGCCTGGGTTCAAATCCTGTCCTGCCATGAACTGGCTGGGTGTCTTTGGACAAATGGTGTAACAGTGCTGAACCTTCACCTCCTCATCTGAGGACACCAAGAATAATGAGGGTACCCACCTCATGGGGATCTGATGAGGCTTAAAGAAGAAAATGCCTGCAGTTTTAGCACAGAACCTGGCAGAGAGTAAATGTGCAATAATAGTAATTATTATAGTTACTATTTTATCAAGAGACCTGGATTCTGGTCCCAGTTCTGCCACTGTTGCCCCCCACTCCCCCACCCCCACCTGCCTGAGTTTCCGTCTATAAAGTAGGTGTTAATTGATTAAATGAGATAATAGATGCCAAAGAAGCTTCTGAGATGAGCGATTATTTTCTGCTCTTTGAAGTTCACTTCCCCAAGGCTGCAGGGGGTTGTCACCCCCACTCTATCAGGTCTTTACTGGGCTCTCTGTCCAGGCAGGACCTGTTGCTGAAGGGCCAGCCCATCTGCTCCCTTCTGCCCACAAGGCAGAATGAGAGGAAAAGGCTGGGGTTGCCTCAGCAGAGACTGTGGTTAGACAGGACGAAGAACTTCCTTCCGGACTGCAGGATGCTGCCCTGGGAAGGAGCCAGAGGTCGTGGGACTGATGCCGTTGGGGGGAGGAGTTGCTTCCATGGGAACGGCCAGGCCCAGCCAGTTAAGCCAGAGTTACCCAGTGGGGTGAATGTGCTGCGCAGTGACCTCACTTCCAGAGACCCTGATGGGGCCCTGTTTAAACTGACCCCAGGGCTCCCATGATCACAGAGACTACAGACAAAAAAGACACAGAAACATGATTCTCCAGGCACAGATAGCCAGAGGCAAATGGTCACCAACTACACTACACTGTTCACTCCACCCAGAACACTCCTTCCAGGCTCTGGAAGCGGCTGACTATCCTTCCTAGCCTCGTCTAAGACTTACCTCCTCAGAGGGAATCTCCCGACAATGCATGCATTCTTTCAGCATTTACTGTGCCTCAGCTATGTGTTAGGCACTGTTCTAACCTGTGAACAAGACCTGGTCCCCGCCCATCCCGTATCAAGTAGCCTGGCCCAGCCCTCTTCTCAAACATAGCACACTGTTTCTCCAGTTTATGGCCTGTCTCCCCACCAGAATGTATGCTCCATGAGGGCAGGGACCTCAACTGTTTTCTTCACCAGTGTAAACTCAGTGATTAACTCAGTGTATAAACCTGTCACAAACCACTAAAATAGGCCCGTGGTAAATATTTCTTTATTTTTATTTTTTTATTGCATTTTAGGTTTTGGGGTACATGTGAAGAACATGCAAGATTGTTGCATAGGTACACACGTGGCAGTGTGATTTGCTGCCTTCTTCCCCATCACCCATATCTGGCATTTCTCCCCATGCTATCTCTCCCCAACTCCCCATCCCCCGGAAAATATTTCTTTTTGTCTTTTTGAGACAAGGTCTGCTCAATTGCCCAGGCTGGAGTGCAGTGGTGCAATCTCAGCTCACTGCAATCTCTGCCTCCTGGGCTCAAGTGACCCTCCCATCTTAGCCTCCTGAGCAGCTGACACTACAGGTACACACCACCACACCTGGCTAATTTTTCCTATTTTTAGTAGAGATGGGGTTTCGCCATGGACTCCTGGCCTCAAGCAATCTGCCCGCCTTAGCCTCCCAAAGTGCTGGGATTACAGGCGTGAGCCACCAGCCTGGCCAAGCCCTTGATAAATATTTGTTGACTAAATAAATAGACACAGAGATCAGAGACAGGACACACAGAAACAGCGCCACACTCAGAGGTGGTACAGACTTTCAGAGATGCACAGAAATGTGAACACAGACACACAGGATGATCGCCACGACAGGGCCCTTCAAACTGACCCCAAGTCTCCCTTCCCTTCCCTCATTCAGCTTAGCTTCTAGGCCCAGGGCTGGAGTGACCTTTGTCCTGGGGCTGACCCAGTTGGTGTCCACCCAAGTGCACCACCTTCCTGGTCCCTGACTCCCTGCATCGGGCACAGAGCTGGTATTATGTTTAAGGAGTCCTGTTTGGGCCTCCTCTACTTTGTTGGGGTGTCTTCTGATGCACAGAAATTTCGAAGTAGTCAAATTTGTCAATCTTTTTAAAAGTATGTTTGTGTAGGCCCAAGAAGGGCAGAGAAAACCCTGCAAAGACCACACCCCACACACGGGGCCCCTCTGGCTGCGGCTCAACCCCACAAAGGTCCTAGAGCCTCAGAGGCCTCGACGGCAGCAGGCCGACGTCGCGCTCGGACCTCGCCCCTCCCCCACGCCCTCTTGCTAGGCCCCGCCCCAGACCCGCCCTCAACGAGGGCCCGCCCACCGACGGCGCCCCCTGTGGCCCCGCCCCTCACCGGCTCTCACGGGCGCAAGGGAACTAGGTGTCTCTTCCTTTTGCCCAGAAAATAGTAGTTAATATTCTGCCAACGGTGCTTCCACCTGGAGGGAGGAGATATCTGGAAGACAGGGTGCGGCCAAGGATCCTCTCTCTCCCGGTCTGCGCTCACTCCGCCCAGCCCCGCCCCTTCCTTCCGCTCCCTGTCGCCCTCAGGCCCCGCCCTTCCTATCAAGTTCCGCCCAGTCTCCTAGCTCCCAGGCCCGGATCCTCGGCTCTGGGGATCCGCCCTTTCCCTAGACCGTGCCCCTTGGCGTAGGCCCCACCCCCATATACTCCCCGGGTCCTCGCCCCGCCTCTCTCCGCGCACTCACGTGAGTCTCGGGCGTGCGCCGTAGCAGCTGGGCCAACTTGCCGAGGGCACGTCGGCCAGGCCTGTGTCCCCGGGCAGCAGTAGCAGTTTGCGTGCCGGCCAGCGCCAGGCGGCGCCCGGAGGGTGGCGGCGCTGCGGGCTCAGCCAGTAGTCGCCCACGCTGCGGCGGGCGGCGGACACCGGCAACACTGGGCCCCGACTGCCCCAGAAACACAACTCCTTGTCCAGGCGGTGTGGGGTTGTGGCCCGGGGCCGCCTGCGGGGGAGATGGGACAGCAGTCACCCCTGGAGAACAGGACAGGCGGGGAGGAGAGAGCTGCCTCGGATCGGATGAGGCAGGGCGCGGGCCGGGGTCACTCTTGGTCGATTTAGAGAGACTGGAGGCCCCCACCGGGGCCTTCCCAAGGACCTGGGTGCCTCCTCCCCCAGCCGCCAGACCAGGGCACTTTATCCCACCAGCGTCCTCCCTCGGTCCCCCTCACCGGGATAGAAGAAAATTCACCACGAAGTGAGCAGTCTCGGTGAATAGCATGATGTCCAGCCGGTCTGGCCCGACCTCGGCCTCTTTAATACCTGCCTGGGCGTGGAGGGGGGGGCCTGAAAACCCATAGTCCCCCTGGGACCGACTGTTTTTAGCAGGAGGCCAGGAGGTGTCAGCTGGCAGAGGAGGTGGGGGTAGAGCTGGTCTCTCGTGAGGTCTAGTCTGGTCTGCCCCCACTAGCCACTTCAGTGGGAGGGGGCTGGTCACCGGATCTCCAAGTTCACCAGAGACGCTCCCCAGGGCCAAAGACAGAAGTGCAAGGATACGGAAAGGCAGTAGGAGGGGACCAGGGACAGGAAGGTCAGCTGCCCTTTGGAGAAACATTTCCCTGTCCCACCCAGGGCCTCCAGCCCTGCTCAAACACTTTTTTTTTTTGAGACAGGGTCTCACTTTGTCATCCAGGCTGGAATACAGTGGGGTGATCATAACTCACTGCAGCCTCAACCTCCTGAACTCAAACGATTTTCCTGCCTCAGTCCCCCAAGTCACTGGGACTACAGGCACTTACCACCACACCGGGCTAATGTTTTGTATTTTTTTGTAGATACAGGGATTCACTATGTTGCCAAGGCTGGTCTCCAACTCCTGAGCTCAAGTGACCCACCAATCTTGGCCTCTGAAGTCTAGGATTACAGTTGACCCACGAAGCCCAGCCTTTTTTTTCTTTGAGTTAGGGTCTCAACTCTGTCACCCAGGCTGTGGTGCAGTGGCACAATCACTACTCACTGCATTCTCAACCTCCCAGGGCTCAAGTAATCCTGCCTTTGCAGGAAGACTGCTGGGATTGAAGCAGCTGGGATGGCAGGCCCATGCCACCAAGTTTGACTAATTTTGTGTGTGTGTGTGTGTGTGTTTTTTTTTTTTTTTTTTTTTTTTTTTT